GATGATCGGATAGAATTCTTTTTATTTGAGCGCTTTTGACGGTGTTTCCCTATTTCATTGGTATTCGAAATTTCGAAAATCATAGGCTTCTTGCTTGATCAAAAGTAGTTGCTGTTGAGACTCATATTTCAGTAAACTCCGAAGTACTCAGATGAAGGTTGTTGATTGACTGATGCAAAATGTATTGCTGATTGATTTTAATCTGCTTTCCTGAAGACGTTTTTTCTCATTGGCCATATCCTGTCCTCAAGTAACCTGTATTTCTTTGGTCAAGGCAGATTTCTATGAACTATGAATGTCACATTTATTTAAAGAATCTTTGACTGTCTATCCACTTCCGTTAGCAACGCTCAATGGATTCACAGTCTTTAAACTTTTTCAAGTTCAAACTTTTGCTGAGAAGACAAAATTTTTGTTTCCGTTATTCGATCGCTCTCTTGGATGAAAGATTAAGTCTTCTTATGAAGCCTAGGCGTGACTCAGTGTTGTGTGTAAAATTCCCGTTATTCTGGAAGATTCCGTATCGTCTTTGTGAACCTCTAATTTCTGTCACCCATGAAAAAATGCACACGCACCAATTCGATGACGCAGATGCCAAATGAATTCTAACAGATGGTTTCCCAGTATCGCCTATTTTCTCGAATGACCACAATCTTAGTGTACGTTGTTAGCTCGTCCATAAAAATACTTGCTTATGGACTGTGATCTTGATGAATTTACGTGATTTGCGGCTGTGCTCGTTATTTCAAGAATCAACCCGCCCAACCTTTCAGACAAACTAATCCCGCTGTTCACTTTCATAACCTCTTCAAGACAAGCCTTTTCTTTTGAAGAAAGGTCTTTTTGTAGACTTTTAGTAACTATTTGGGAGCCTAAACTCCAGTGATTCCACCGCTGTATTTGCTTTTTGAAAAAGATCTTTTTATTGAGTTTTAGCATTGACGATAAAATTATGTAACACACTAGATATGTTTGCTCGCTAGGCTAAAGTGTGTAGATCGGTTTTTATTATTAATTATATAGCCAATGTACAAATTTCGACATCTCCGAAACTGAGTATGAAGTTCTAAAAAAAATCTTTGGATGGCACTGTAACAGCGAAAAGCAAATGGTGTTTGACCCTCACAGTTTTCTTGCGCATAAGAGTTTTTTTGCACATATATATGCATCAAAAAAGTATGAACATGTAGAAGAAATTGTGGTATCCGATCAATGGAGAAAATCTAAGATTTCCTTAGAAACAGAGAAAAAAATTGTGATTGAATTGTGAGCTTTTTGCTCTCTCAAATCAGCGATTAACTTCTGCCTCAAAAGGCGTGATTGTCGTCATTCATTCAAGAATTTTTTCATCGTTTCGAGAAAACTTTTAGTTTAGCGTTATTGCAGAAACAACTTCGTTCTATAGTACTATAGACATCAGCTTTTATTTTCATCTTTATTACCCACTGAATCCGCTATGAGGTTCTTCTAACAACGGCCTGAATACTTCGAATGAGTAACAATATTTTGGGCTCTTGCATAGCTTTATAGAACCTCTTAGAAACTTAAATCCAGTTGCGAAATCATCAGGAAATGTGGTATGAAAAAATTGATTATTACTCGCAGTCTGATAAAAGTGCCAGGCGCAAACCCTAGTTGAGCAGGAATGCACCTCGACTCTGATCTGTAATTTTGAGCCACAAGCAAAGAGGTCTTCTTGGAAGTTTGATTAGAATTGCCGTCTTTCAGGCTACTGATTGACTATTCAAAGCTCTAGTGAAAACTCTGTCTGATAAAGCAGCTAGCAAAGAAGAGTGCAAAACACAATATACACTCGGAGCTAAAACGTAATTTTCTCGTCGCCCCTAGAGCTCACCAAGAAAAGATTCTAAAAACCAAGCCCAATGTCAGAATCGCGATTTTTCAGCCAACGAACGACTTTTGAAAGTCTTATGAAAAACTGTGCCCGATTGGGAAATTGCTAATGGACCAGTGCACCATTTTTGTGACACTTGGTTCCTAGAGCATTGACCATAATATTAACGATAACTTATGACGGTATCTTATTAATGTATACCTTTCTCTATGTTATCTGTGAGATTTATTGCAGAAATTAACGATCATATGCACATCGGCTAGTGTGATGTCTTGAGATTGAGAGTTATTGTAAATATTTAAAATACCTCCCGAAAGGACAGCACTATTTCAAATAATTTGGACGTTACGCGACTGCCAAGCTAGAGTTTCTTCTTCTCAGAACAAGCCTATCAGCCATTTGACTCCAGATAGAATTGTGGTTTTTCACTAGAACAAGAGACTAATTTCGATTATTTTCACTGGAACATTGACGAAATAGTGTTTAAAAAGTACGTTTCCCATTTTTTATCTATAACTCTAGATTATATTTTTTCACAGCTACAAAGTATTTCTATGATAATATGAAAAAACTGAACAAATTCAGAAGAGATGAGCAGGGGAACACTCACAGCCACCTATTTCAAAGAAATCTGACATAGAGAGCAAGCACAACAGTGGCGGAATGCCGTATAATAACAAACTTTCCTTTTTTTAGGGCTAGGAGCTGTGTCAGCGGCAGTAATGTCGTCAGCAGACTCTTCGGTGCTTTCAGCAGCCTCTATGTTTGCCCACAACATTTGGAAGCCTACCATCAGACCACATGTAAGATGAATTTTCTGCAAAGTTCTTCGATTTAATTTGATTACATCTGCAGGCCTCTGAACGAGAAGTGATTTTCGTGATGCGTTTCGCTATTATTGCGGTGGGAGTGATGGCTACCGTCATGGCACTTACTATTCAAAGCATCTACGGATTATGGTGAGCAACTTTCTACGAATCATCAACCAAATAATTTAAATTGTGTAAATGAGTCATTTCATGTGAATACTTCAAGACGGTTGTAGAATAAATTGAGAGATAGTTATTGTTACTTACATCATTTCGCCAAATTAATAGGAGAGAACAACAAGATATCACCTATTGACATTGGTATTTGGTTTTTAAGCTCAGCAGGTGCTAACTTACGTAAAGGAAAATGAAATTTATTACTGTTTGTGGCGCATGAATGTGTGTGTACACGTGCATATGTGTATATGTGTTTGTGCGTGTATGTGTGTGCATGTGTGTTCGTGTACGTTGTGTGTGTTGCGTGACTGTGCGTGAGTGTGTGTGCGTTTCTATACGTTGTGATGTGTTGTGTGTGTGTGTGTGTTGTGTGTGTGTGTGTGTGTGTGTGTGTGTGTGTGTGTGTGTGTGTGTGTGTGTGTGTGTGTGTGTGTGTGTGTGTGTGTGTGTGTGTGTGTGTGTGTGTGTGTGTGTGTGTTGTGTGTGTGTGTGTGTGTGTGTGTGTTGTATTTAGCAACACAACCGACTCATAAGTTAATACCGACTCTCATAAGCGCTCTAGTAATCACCAGCGTTTCGGAGACCTTGCAGCAGCATCCCGTGGTCTTTAATCGTATGCTTACTTTCTCATCAGTCATAATTGAGTAACGCTATATTGAGGATCGTCCCGTTGTATGCGACTTGTTCCCTTCCTTTCACATGACTAGTTTCCCGGTTTCGTTACTGAAGTGAGTCTGCGTCCAAAGGAGGAGGGTTAATGCAGAATATTGAACGATGCCGTAGTATTCACAATTACGTAAAGAGTCTTTACATGAACTATGCTCTCCAAACACTCTAAAGTCTTGTGGTAAGGATATGCCTTCGAAATATGAAATTACATAAATATATGAAATCCTCGAAAACGTCCAATGATAGAAAGACTCCATCCAAATTTTTGTGCTTACATCAACTTTTTGTTTCTAGATTCCTTTTCCTGTGCTATGCTTGTACTTACATTGTCGTAGTCCGTATAATTTGAATGAAAAGAAAAGAATGGGAACCCCATTACTTACTAGTTTTTAAAGATCCTTGTTACACATCGACTCCGATCGGCGCTTCTGGAGAATAGCAATGGAAGAAACCGATTTTTTTCCGATGAGTGACTTGAAAGTACAGAATGACGAAGTGAATTTTCCTGAGAGTCAATGAGCTAGCGTACCGATGGCCATAGAAAAGCCAACATATGATTGTTAAGGAATTGAATAGAAGATAAAATACTTCCTTCGTTGATCTGTTGAGTGTTGGCTTACCTGCTGAGCTCCGCAGAAGCGATCCCATCGCATCTGACAGGATTCGCAGCAGCTAGCACACCGCCAATTTAAATACAATCAAAGGTATTTTCGAAAGTGTGTTGTGACTGTAGCGTCAGGCATTAATATGCCCGCGATTTTTATAAAATGTCCTCGGTGATTCCCGTAATGTTCATCGCAAATGTTTCCACCCCTTCATGCGAAAAAGGAGAGAAAGAAGTTTTTATACTTTCTAGAAAGACAGAAATTTTGCTCTACAGTATTCAGCAATGGTAGTTTGTTTGAGATTTAGGATTGTGAACAAAGAACACTTCCTCCAGAAACCAATATAACGATGATCTTCTATTATATCGTAGGTACCTATGCGCTGATCTCGTCTACGTAATTCTTTTTCCACAACTGTTATGCGTTGTCTACATGAAGAGCAGCAATACATATGGATCACTAGCAGGCTATACAGGTAAGGTAGTAGACGATTTTGTTATTCGGTCCTAATTTATCCGCTATTCAATAGTTTCTCTACCATGTTTTTCAAGTTTTCACATTTACACCCCATGGTGTAAAGTGGTGTGCAAAAACACTTGCGTCAGCTGGGATTTGAACCCACACTTCACCCTATCCGGAGTAGCGTGCTGAACCGCTGCAATACCGGTGCCCGTTTTCACACCACTCTACGCTACAACACATTATTCGTCCATAGCCAACCGTCAACGGTCTGGCGTGGGTAATCGCTATCGACATTGAACCCACTAATGCTGACGGATATTGAGTGTTGATGATCAATCAGGTTTCATATTTATTAGACCGTCTCTAGCGGTGGCATGACGTTGAAAGTATATTCAGTGATGTAGAATGGTGTGCAAAAGCATTTACGTCAGATGGGATTCGAACCCACATTTTACCCTATCTGGGTGCGCGTGCTGAACCGTTGCACTACCGACGCCCTCTTGACACCACGAAACCCATCTGACGCAAATGTTTTTGCATATACCCTACATCATTGAGTATGCTATAACATCATACCACCGCTAGAGACGGTCAAATAAAATTGAAGCCTGATTGATCATCAATACCCAATATCTAACAGCATAAATGAGTTCAATGTCGATAGAGACTACCCACGCCAGACCGTTGACGGTTGGCTCTTGACAAATAACGCGCTGTAACTCAGAAAGAGTAATGTCAAAACGGGCGTCGGTGCTGCAACGGTTCAGCACGCGCCCCCGAATTGGGTAAAGTGTGGGCTCAAATCCTAACTGACGTAAATATTTTTCCACACCACCCTACATCATTGGTATGATGTAACATCATACAACCGCTAGAGACGGTCAGATAAAAATGGATCCTGATTTTCACCTTCTCCTATTTTTTTTTCTTATAATTCTACTGCTTCTTTGGAAAGCTTTCTAGAAATTTTACAGGATATTGTCAAAACATGTGAAAAATTTATCAACAGTTTCAGTTGGTCTTCTTCTACGGTTATCCGGTGGTGAACCGTTACTTGGCTTGCCCGCTCTTGTACATTACCCAATGTACGAGGACGGTATACAGTACTTCCCATTCAAGACAGTCTCAATGCTGTCGTCGCTATTCTGTATAGTAGGAGTAAGTATAGTTCTATCAAAAACTCTGCTTTTCCAATCCATTATTATTCTTTGACGCTAAGTTCAAGTCAGAATCATTTCGAAAAAGTGCTACTGGATGTATACAACTTTCAGACGGTGTTCTGTCCTGCATTAAGGTTATCTTATTTGTGAATTGATGTGGTGATTCCTAGGTTTCACGACTCAGCAAGTATTTGTTCACATCGGGGCAATTGTCGGCTGAGTTAGATGTTCTTGGCTGTGTCATGGTTACGTCAGAGAGGATTCCGCTACCATCTGATATGTCATTCAACGTTAGCAGTGATACCCTAGCAATGAATAAGGTGGGCCTAACATCTTAAGCTAAAATTGCAAGTACAGAATTTTACATCACGTTCTGTCATCATTCGAAACGATTTCAACCGAAAAATGTTTATATATTTACCCATATCCACAATGGTAATGTCAAAAGGGAGCACCGTGAAGCTCATCGAACAATTTGCTGGCAGTTGAATTGATGCTAGTCATTACTTACGTTTCGAGGGTTTTGAGATCTCGCTCAAATCAATGTAATTCAATAACAAATTTCAAGCCTTTCGTGAGGTCTTTTATGGAACTTAAACCGCACAAGACATGTGTTTAGGCATTACAGTCTCGTCAGTTGCATGTTGCTTTTTGGTTCAGTCAGTTCTGCGAGGAGATATCGCCTACACAGAGGAATTGGCACCGAAATATTTACAGCTGCCGCTGGGTGAAAAAAATCACCCAACGGGCAGTGTTGCACACTCGATCTCATGGCTGGTAGTTGTGCCGCTGACGACACTGTAATGTCGAGAAACTTGTCTTGCACTGTATAAGTATTATAAAAGATCTCATAAAATGCCCAAGATATATTATCGGATTTTACTGTTTTGAGCGAAGTCTCAAGAGCACATGACAAAAGACATGACAATCAAGCTTTGCCAGCCACGAACAATAGAGTGTACAACATTGCCCATTGGGTGATTTTTTCACCTAGCGACAGGTGTAGCTATTTCGGAGGCGGTTCCTTTTATGTGGGGGATATCTACCCTCGCAAATGGCTAAGCTGAAAAGCACTGTGCAACTGACGAGGCTCTGAAATACCAAAACACGTGTCTGGCCCCATATAAATATCATAACAGACCTCATGAAAGACTCAAAATATGCTATCAAATTATGTTGATTTCAAGCGAGATCTCCGAATAGTCGATTGAAATGTTTAGTTGCATATTCCCACGTCACAGCCGTGCGCCATACAATCGACAGTCAATCACTCTGGAAGAACGCTACGGTGATGCTTTCACCGTACGCCGAGTGTGAAAAAGTTCGTTGTCGATTCTTTTATATAGGGGTGGATCCTGAGAAAACTGACTGAACGAAAGACACCGTGCAACTAATGAGTCTGCAATGCTGAAACACGCGTCTTGCGCTGTATAAATGCCACAGAAGGCCTCTTGAAAAACGCAGAATATGTTATCAAATGCTCATCACTATGTAAACGTCATCAACCTTTAGCTTAACCCTTCTACTCAAGAAATGCGTTTCTTTTATTAGTGGTATGAAACCGAATCCTCGTTTTAAGAAACTTGAATTGTGTCCCACTCTTTCTGGGAGACACTTGATTTTCGCTGTTCATTGTGAGAGTTTAGCCAGGTTCACCAAGTTTTCTCTTCAGAATAAATTTAGTCGCAGCCGGGTTTGTTGATAAAAATGGTAAACATCATTTCACTTTGGAAGGCTCTATAATGAGCCTTTTAACTATCGTTGTAAACTTCAATTTCGAACAACCTTTTTTATGAGAAGATGTAGAGAGCGCTGGTGATACCATTTTATACAAATGGCAATCCGTTAAGCTACTTACGTTGAACTACTTGGTCTAGTGGACTCTTCAACAGGTTCCATTGCTTGAAAGTTGATGAAAGCAGGGCATCCTTTGAAATTCAGTCATCTATTAATTTCATCTTATTAGATCCGTCTCTCAGTTTTTCACTATACTGATCTCAGTACTTCTAATGTTCAATTCGTTTCTTCGTCTTCTTCTTCTTAAGCTTCATGAAAACTGGTTGTGCACGTCTCCTTGCAGTCTCGCAGATATCTTGGCTGTGGCGCTCTATATTGCTTTCGTTGTTGACTGCCGGAGAGTGTCGGCGGTAGGGGACAGACCCGCACCGCTTTACGATGTGCATCACGAACACTCGGCCACGACTTTTCCCCAGCATCGATTCGAGCTCAAAAAAATTGGCATCATTTTTATTTCTTGTAATTTGTTTGATACAGTGCATTAAATTTATGTGGTCTTTTCCATCGTACATAATTTGTATCTACTCTAGATGGCAAATGGTGGCCATGCCGACAACGCTGCTATGTCGGAAACGTCGTTTCTACACCCTTACTACTCTGATCAAAACTACTTATCGACATATTCACACTAGGCCCGATTTTGTAGATAATTCAAGGTTTTCGTTCATGAAAATTGACTTTTTCATAGAGTTCTATTAAGGCCGAAACGTCTGCCGTTCGTTATAGAGATTCATAGATATTCTGTAAAGAATGATTATAGTGTATCTCGTGTACCATATAATATAGGTAGATTTCTAGTCATCCAAAGATGATCTGTAAAACACTAGACTTTTTTGTTTTTTATTCTCGCTTTTTCTATGACTGACATGCATAGTAAATGAAATACGTGTAGAGAATTCTATTTGTCTCTTAACTGCTCTCAAAAGTTAGCTACTGTCGGACTATTATTGTGTTAAAAGCAATATTATTGTATTTTAGGATGTGGTCTGATAGAATATTTGAAGCCTTCTAGATCTCTGAAAAGCTTGAAGGACATTCTGTCAGACTGTACTGAATTTTTAAGCGAGGTCTGAAGTAGTCAATTGGAAAGTGATGTATTTTATGTGTTGTACTGAGTCAGAATAAATCGAACGAACAATATGTTAAAGTATTTATTAGTAGAAGGGCATGCGTAACGCATACAATTTCTTGTTTTCCTAAACTCCAAAAAAAATTCCATCGAAAATTACTTTCAGAGAGAATACAATTTCTTGGAATGACGATGAAGGACTGCATCATAAAGAAACATCTTGCAAACGTTTCATTTCTTCAGAAATTTCTCTTTCTTTGCAAATCAGATCTCTTGGAAAAAGGATCATCTCATCTCTCTTAACTTTTTCAAGTGAGTTGGTGTTCAGTGCAAGTGCCAGATAGAAAGTAAAGACTGCTTTTGTCATTGAATCACACATCAAACTAGGAATAGGTGAAGTCTCCAAACAGTTAGTCATGTATTTTCCAGAAGGCCCAATTAGTTGCCACAATGAGATAATTTTGATAAGATATTCTTTTCTGTCATTACTCTAAGACAAGAGTTCTTTTCTTTCATTTTAACTACTTTATAGCGGTAGTATGATGTTACAAATAAACCTAATGACGGTACTACGATGTTACAAATATACTGTTTAGTGATGTGCAAGACTTTTGCGTCAGGCGGAATTCGAACCCGCATTTTACCCAAGAGCGCGTGTCTAACCCATTTCACTACCAACGCCTGTTTTGCCACTACTCTTTCTATGCTACAACGCATCAACCTGTCAGCAATCAACAGTCAGCGGTTTGGCCTGATAGTCGATATTGACACTGACTCCATTACGTTAACAATGTCTAAAGACAATATCCTTTAATGGTTATATTATTACTACGTAGTTTCATAAAAGAGCTTTATTTGGCTAACGTTTTGACGTTTTTACCTTGTCCAGAGCCAGTGGTTTGAGTCGATTGTCCACAATGTTCGCCCACGGGTTGTAGACCTTCGCCATGGTTCAAGATCCATTTCTTGTCTTAAAATAATACCTAGCAGTGAGTGGTAAGGCAGGTTCCAAACTTCTTCGTGGAGGCGCAACATTTTAATCGCTACTTGAGGACTCTCCCTCCGTATGCGTGAAATAGTCTATCTGCGTGACCATTTATAATTTATGATTTACATCATTCGAAATTACATTTTTCATCGCATGAATTATACTTCTAGTACTCGATTTGTTTTCTGACACCCATCGTCCATAGAGATCTTCTATCTTTGCGTCTTAGTTCGGTTGCTGTTATAGTGATCGCTGCCTTTGTCGTTCACGTCGTTGAACGCCTGGTCGAATGGACGTCGTCTATGATCCTAGGATGACATTATAGTGCTAGTGTGTTTCACGCCAATTAACAAGTGAATACTCTCGGACAAGTCTGCTACCATTTTCTTGACTCTGAAAAATGAAAAGCGTGGTGTGCTTAAAGCGGTTTGAACTAGCGTTGTGCTAGGTTACCTTCTACGTACTTAACGGCGTCACCCGAC